ACAACAAGTAGATGATTATTAATTATTCCCTTAATGCTGCAGTAGCAGAATTACCAACAACCAACACTGGAGCTGGAGGACAACATTCTCAGCACTGGACCTGCTGGGTTTCCCTGAGGCCCCTGCATTTTATTCCTGACACACTGAGCAGATGCTACTGAAGCCTGGGGAACAGTATACTGTCTGGAAGTATTTTTCCTTTAAAACCTCTTTTTATTCTCTTCGTTCTCTTTAAGAAGCCTGGAGTAAAGGTAATATGAATACTGGCAACTGAATGTTTTCTTTAAAATTTTGAACTGAAATAATTAACACTCCCCATTAATAAATGGTCATGAAATGTAAAGAATTCAAAAATAAACCTTTTTTCTTAAAAGGCTCATAGTCTAGGTAGAAGTAACTTTAAGTAAAATCCAGATAATCTCATTCACTATCATGACAGTCAGCCGACTTTCCCTAAAAAGATTTCTGAGACACTAAGCATTCTGAGCTTTGTCTCCAGCAAAAATACCCAGCTGGGTCCTTGCAAAAACAACCACAGAAAATATGTAAACAAATGAGCGGGGCTGAGACTACATTAGGGCCTCTGTGGGTCCTGCAGATTTTTTGCCTTATGGGTGCTTCCACTATAATAACATAAATTTTAATTTTTTAATGTAACTTTAGATACTTTATTTTTTTCTATTAGGAAAATATAATACTTTTATGGGGCCCTGGATATTACATTTTTCTCATTTCACTTTTTATTATAACTTGGGTGTTACATTTTGATTCCTCCATACATGCCCATGTTCCACTCACCCTCCACAAAACCACTCCTGCAATAGCCAATTGACTTCCCTCCCCCATTTCCTCTACCCCTCCCCCCACAGCCTCTGGTAACTGGTGCATTTTTTCATTAAGTCCAGGATTTGCTTTTGCTACATTTTGCCTGTATATGTGGTTTTGGTTATTTATATTCCACAAATAAGTGAAATCATCTGATAGTTGTCTTTCACTAATATTTCTTCTTACATGAGGAAAAAAATTAGTATTTTTGATCCTAAAAGTTTAAGTTTTTTCTTCTGATTTTTAAAGAAATAAAAGCATTTTATGACTCCCTAAAAGTACTGTAGGCCCATGGCACAGTGTCTGCAGTGCCTGGGGTTGGGTTGGCCCCGTGTGGCTGTGTTCCAATAAAACTTTATTTGGCAGCAGGCTGCTAACTCTGCTCTAATCAACTGTACAAATTTAGTGTTACAACTTTATTATTCTGCCTGGTGTTATTTTTAAAATTAAAAAAATGTTCGCCAATGAAAAATACACAAAAGGCTGATGACCCAGCAGAAAAATGGGTCTTTTTGCACTATAATTATGCTGCTATTACTGAAAAAACTAAGTGGAAATAAGGCTGTCCAAAAACCTGTAGCCTCTCTGACTGCAAAAGTGATGTTGTTTCCATTACACTCACTGCCTTGATCAAGCTCCCATCTCACTATTCTGGGCTTTTCATGTCTTTTATTATCGCACAAGGTAAGAATTTGTGAAGAAGAAACAGCTAAGGGAGCACTCCCAAAGTGTCACCTGGCACCATCAAATAATGTGGAATTTTACAGTGACCTTTCAGAGACTAAGTCTTGAACTACTGTCCCCTGAGAATGGCTTGAAGGATAAGAATTCAAACAGGTCAGCGGAATCTAGGGAGGTACCACTGGGGGTTGACAAAAATGCTGGCAACTGCCACATACACCACCAGCTAGCCCTTTCCTGTAAGACAGGCATGCATCTTATTTGTATCATCTTAAGTATCAGTTTTGCCTAATGCCCACAGCCTCCTCCTAAACACCTGCTCAGAGAGAACCTGGCTTGAAATCCTACCGGACTGATATGGGCATCCTCAAAGAAAAATGCAATGCCATGAAAAGCACACATCTCGAGTGAATTCCTGCCCTCCATGTCATTGCTAGAAGGTTCCGAGTAAGTGTTCCAGGTTTAAAATTCTTCCCATTTGGAGGGTGAAGTGAACTTGAAGTAGGAAAATCACGATATAAAGTCCCACAGAAACAAGGTATTTGTGGTAAATCACGCAGTTCAGTATAAAAGGATGCTGAGCTGGTCCTCTCTGAATACGTATGAACAAACTCCGTGCAGCTAACATCAACATGGGGATATTTACAGTGTCAAACTTTATTTCCAGAAGCTTATAACATTCCTAGCAACAGCTCCCAGTCTTACGAACAATTCCAAAGTTGTTTTCAAATAGAAGTTAGTCTTTACAATCCATGAATAAGTCTTTCAGACGTTCTAACTTAAAGCATGACTACATAATCAAATATATAATCACTATGTTAAGTAATTTCCTGCTTTAACCTATTAATAAAGATTCGGGCCTCCCTGGTGGTGCAAGGGGTTAAGCACAGCACTGTGCAGCTGTCTGCAGCCCCCTGGCTGACCAGGGAGCTACCCACATGGCACAGCAGACCTCTCTTGTCTCGCCTACTGCTCCCCTCAGCAGTGTATTTCAGTCTGTCTGCCTGTTCTGTTCCCCACTCTGTCTCTGGTGAATCCTCTCACCCTGTCCCCGGCTGTACCTCTGGCTTTTACTCCAGTTCTTGTATGCATAAATAAATAAATCTTAAAAAAAAAAATTCAATGTTGTAACCATACAATAGGTAGGCAACTCTGAGGAGATACTCTGGAATAATACTGGCATCATTCAAAAACATATATCCTGTATTCACCCATGAAGAGGGGGAGAAACTGAGAAATATTTAAGAGATCTGTTTCAAAATCTCAGCATGTGTCAGTAGTGGATTTAATGAGTCAGCAGAATTGATATTTAAGTTAAATGACTGACGGAAAAGAAGAATAAACCCCCCAGCAAATACACACACACACACACACCTAAACCATTCATAGAACCTCCATCATCAAATATTTCACCAGTGAGGTTCTCAGCAGTGATGAAGGGCCTGCCCCATAGCAGGCATTTCCAGAACCTTGGGGACAGGTACAGCATAATTTGGGTCTACACAGCATCCCTATTTGTTTCTAAGCGGCTTTCCCATAGCAACCGATTTCTTCTCAGAATTTGTATGAGGTAGCTAGCTCTGGCACTTGACTATTTAGAGAAAGTAACAAATTGTCTTTCTCACTTTGATTTAGAAGAAATCTCCAGATCCCTATTTATTCTACTTGTAAAATACATCATGTAAGCTTTAATACAAAGCTCAAAAAATGTCTAGCCAATGTGAATTCTGCTTAAGGATTTTTTTTCAGAACTCACAAAGAAAATACTTATTCAAAATAACTAATCAGGGCCTCCCTGGTGGTGCAAGGGGTTAAAGTCTCAGCACTATGACGATATCACCAGCCACTGTAGCATGGCCAGGGAGCTGACCCACATGGCGCAGCAGACCTCTCCTGTCTCGCCCGCTGCTCACCTCAGCAGTGTATTTCAGTCAATCCACCTGTTCTGCTCCCTACTCTGTCTCTGGTGAATCCTCTTTCTCCCCGGAACTCTGGCCTACACGCAGTTTTTGTATGCATAAATAAATAAAAATAAATCTTTTTTTAAAAAAAAAAGAAAAACAAAATACCTAACAAGATATTCTGGGTTAAAAAAATAACAAAAATTAACTTTAGAAGGAGTACTTAAATACCAAAACCAAAATAATCATGAGGTATGAACACCACACCAGTGACAAAGATCCTGGTTAAAGACATAATATACTACCAGTCTAGAGATGATAAAAATATCTTACTCTCTCCTTTGCTTTGAAAGAACCTTGCGTAGAGCCTTCCACTGAGTAGAAATTCAGAAATGTTTTTAAAGCCATGAACGCTGCTTTGGGAAAAAATAAAGATCACAATTCACAGTTCGAAACAGAATCACATTTTCTACAATCCAGAGTGTTTCAACAGTCTTACATCTTCATATGCCCCAGTATTGAATGCATTATGACTCATTGTCTATGAATCCACAATAGTTTTTCAGGGGGTAGGGGGTTTCTACATGGGGTGAGGGGAGCAAATCTTAGACTAAATGACTTCTAAGGTGAAAGTTCTTAAACTTTTGCTATATCAGAATCTCCTGAAGGACTTGTTAGAACACAGCTTCCTGTGCCCTATTCCCAGAGATTCTGTTTCTGTAGGTCTAGGATGGGACCCATGAATTTGTATTTTTTTTTTAGTTGAAGTAACACTGGTTTATAACATTATATAGATGTCAGGTGCCTAGTCTTATAAACATCTGAATATAGTACCTTATGTTCACTACCAGAATTTTAACTTCCACCCATCACTATAAAGTTGACCCCTTTTAACCCCTGCGCTCCGGCAACCACTATTTTGTTATTATAATATAAAAGTTTGTTGACTCTTATCATTCATTTATCTCATGAGTGAAAATTATATGGTGTTTGTCTTTCTCTACCTGACTTATTAAATAAAGCACCCTCTAGTTCTATCTGTACTGTAGCACATGACAGGATTTCATGTTTTTACTATTTTCTGATAGCTGAGTGTTATTCCATCACGAGTATATACCACATCTCAGTCATTATAGAAAATATTATGGTGGTTCTTCAAAAAAATTAAGACTACAAATACCACATGATCCAGCTATGCCCCTCCTGGGTGTTTATCTGAAGAATATAAAACACTAACTGGAAGAGATGCCTGCACCCCCATGTTCACGGCAACAGTATTCACAACAGGCAGGAGCGGGAAACAACCCAGTGCCGGCGCACAGGTAAGTGGGTTAACTGACAGTGCTAGCAAGGTCAGGGGACAGAGATGCTGCTGGTCCTTGGACCACACCTTCCAACAGCACTGCTGTCACATCCTTTCCAATTCTAAGTTTAGTTTTGAAGAAATCTGACTCAAGCATTTACAAAATTCCTTCAAGTCTAGGGTTTTAGGGCACCCTGTGGATACAAAATCATTGGAAGGAGAAAGTCCAAGTCACATCTACATATCTGCCCTCAGAGCTCCGGTCTGGATCCCCTGCACCCCACACTCACCAAACGAAACTTCCCGGGGACATGGAGACATTCACAGCCCTGGAACTGTCCACCTGCCCTGAGGGCTGCAGCCAGCACCTGTGGAGCAGCTGGAGATGCAGGAAGCTGAGGTCCTGCCACGCAGCTGGAGGTGGGTGCCCAGCCAGTGCGAACGGGCTGGCCCTGGGTGCTTCTTTTAAGCCACGCTGACCAGTGACCCTGGCCTGGCTCTCCCCCAGGGGCTGGAGCTTTTAACTATTGATGAGTTTTCATGTGTGTCCAGAGATGCTCCAGCTGCCCTGCTGGCTTTGTCCACAGCGTCCAGCCCTGGGTTTGGGGGAGGCCGACAGCTGCGGAAAGAACTTGAGAAGCAGTTTCTCAGAAACCCAAGGCAACCCTTATCTGTCTGCAGCTGACTGAGGTCACGGCTGCTATTTGGACTGAGGACTGATTCCTAACTTTACTCAGCGTTTTCCTCAGAGTCACCCAGCAGAGAACCAGAGGTTCCCAAAGAGGGGAAATGTCTTGGGAGAAACTGGGGGGAAGGGGGAGAGCGAGAACCCATGCTAAGCCTGTGCTAAAGGTAGCCGTTCTCTCCAGCAGCGTCCAGGAGGGGCAGGATGGGAAATGAAGCAGGCAACGAAAAGGAAGCTCTGACTCCACATTACGGAGATCTTGAGAGGCACCGTCTATTCACAGCTGAGTGACTTTTTAAAAAAAATGTCTGTTTTTCATCGACATGGCTTAGAGTTGAGATATTACGTGTCAGCATGGTCCCACCTCTTGTAATTGAATTCAGTCTCGGTGTGCTGCTTCCGCCACCAGCTTCTCCAAGCTGTGGTGAAGAGACACCGTCATGACTCACATGATGAACATTTATTAAAAGGCCAGAGGAGACACGAGACAAGAGCACACCCTTGCTCAGCAAGGACCTCTGCACGCCAGGTCTCCCTCTTCAGGAACAGCTTCTGAAGCTGATTAGAAAGTCTCCAAGGAAGTCTCAGAAGGAATGGGGTTGGAAGGATAGAGAGAAGGAAGCTGACTGAGGGCTGTCAGGACTTTTTCCCTTTACTATTATCTCTTTAACAATGAAAACACGAACATGCGTGACCTAAGAACAGGTTTCCTTTTTGTTTTTCATTAATAAGGGGGAAAACAGCTGTCTCAGAAGAGAGTGTATCTGCGCCAGGTAAATGTGTCCCAGACTTCTGGAATCTACTTAAGCACAATCAGGACACCATATGTTCTCAACAGAGCATCCTGAAATCCTGGATTTGAGCAATTTTGTTCAATCGTGGAAGCAGTCTCAGCCTGGACCACCGGGATCAGAGCCCCCAAACCTGCCTCACCTGACCTCTCCCCCAACATTTTTCTATTGTGTTTTTCGCTGCCAAACATGATTCTCCTCAAGAGTCCCATGAGAAGTGTAATGAGAATCACCAACACAAGAGGCTGTGCTCTTTGTGTACCACCACCAGCATATTTCTAGAACATTTATCAGGAAAAAAAAAAAAATACTGCAGATGCGAAAGAATATTTTCCCCAATTGAGATGTACCCTCACCTGTAGGGTGACACATCCTTTGTGGGAATGTATCTCAGATCCAATCCAGGTTTTAAGGGACAACAGTGGTCCCTTATAACAATAACCACTAGCCACCAAGTGAAAACAAGTGATGTTAAAGGCTGGAGTCTCGGGGCAAAATATACTTCCAGGTGTCTGAGGCAGCTTTGTATATGCTGTGTCCACACATCTCAGAGTGCAAAGAAGCACTAAGTGAGACATTCTTCCCCAACCGTGAGTAATAGCCCAAGGGAGGGAAGGAGGCCTAAGTCACTTCAGGAGAAGGCTGGGGCTCTTTCTTCACAATTAATGAGGTAATATTCAAGTAGAGCGGGAGTCAAAAGGAAGTTGAGTTTTCTGGAAAATGTTACTATGGGAAATTTTTTACTCGCCACACAATTACAATCTAGATTTTATAATATGATATAAAAGTGGCCCAGAGGATCAATAATCTTTTCCACAGAATTCAGTACACTCTTTCTTCTACTTGTAAAACTGAAGCAAATTTTCCCCCAAAGAAACTATAATTCAAAATCTGTCCTCTATGAGGAACTGCATGTGAACAGGTGAACATGTGAAGGGAAGTCTCAAATCACCAAACTCTCAGTTTCCTACCACAGGAAATAACCTAACTGGATTTATTTTACATTTATCTAACTTTGGTTTCACTGTCTTCTCCCGGAAAAAATATGTACTAAAGAAACCAGGAAATCAGAATTTCAAAATTGTGGAAAGAACACTAACCCAACATACACAATGTGAGTTTTCTGCAGCTGTTTTAAAAAAGGAGATAACATTAGATGAGATAGAAAATTGTGTTTTATTCTGTGCACCTTAATCCCCACTACGAAATATTGATGGTATTTCCAAAAATGTGAAACCCACACAGCCAGAAATATGGGAGATGATTTAAATAAACATGATACTGTCTCCTCACTGCTATCAGAATTAGCAAAAGAAGCAGGAGGACAGAAACACCAAGTGACTCAACACCTCTGTTAAAAAAATTAATAGAATGTAGTGTTAACTAGTCAACATACTCTCTTGTCCCTGTATTAAAAATCATGGACTCTAATACTCGAGTCCATACTCTGTTTATGTCAAGCCCTATTGAGAACAAGCAAAAGGAACTTACCTATTTGCTCCTGGAAATACCCACTGCTAAGAGACAAGACTGTGTCTATCCAAAATAGCTTACTTGTCGCTATGAGCCAACTTGTTCAGTAAGACTTACTTCAGTGCCTTCATCTCCTGGCATCACCAACTCTGCCCAAACTCAACCAGTTCTTTGGCTGGCAAACCCTGGTAAAATTCACCCAATCCAAGACCTAAACCTTATCAACAACCTGCCCTGACTTTCCTTTTGACATACTACCAATACTCTGTCAATATGATATTCCTGGGCCTCCCCTGGTCGTGCAGCAGTTGAGCGCTGGCCGCAGCCTCTACAGAGCCGGTTCGATCCCCGGCTGCCAGTGAGGGTCCCACATGGCATGCAGATCTCGCCTGCTGCGCTGGCTGCGCCCCCTCAGCAGTGTATTTCATCAGTCTGCCTGTTCTATTCCCCACTCTGGCTCTGGTGAATTCTCTCACCTTCCCACACTTCTGATTGTACCCAGTGCTTGTGTAAATAAATAAAAAAATCTTTAAAAAAAAATACGGTATTCCTCTTTATGGCAATACATCGAATTAACTGTCTTTGCTTGATCTACAGGTTTTTCTGGTAGGCTCCCGGGGGGCTCGGCACTTGACAAGCACACCATTATCAAAGCTTGTTATTTCGGGCCTCCCCTGGTGGTGCAGGCAGTTGAGCACCTCGCTGTGAAACTGTCTGCAGCCTCTGCAATGCCGGTTTGATCCCAGCCGGCCAGTGAAGGTCCCACATGGCATGGCAGACCTCTCCTGTTGCACCCGCTGCTCCCCTCAGCAGTGTATTTTGTCAATCTGCCTGTTGTGGTCCCCACTCTGTCTCTGGGGAATCCTCTCACCCTCCTTGCATCTAGCCTGTACCCCGGTTCTTATATAAATAAATAAATAAATCTTTAAAAAAGAAAAAAAGCTTGTTATTTCATGCTATGGCATCACAGAGGGTGTTGAAGTGTGCCTGGGAAAAGCAGAGTCAATAAAGGCTTGATGAGAAAGTGACATGAGAGAAAGAGTCCTGAGTTAAGCTGGGGAACCATGTTTTATTAGGTTCCTCCTCCACAAAGAACCATTAAAAACAGATATCCCAAGAATTTGTGGTAGAATGAGTGGCAAACTTCTGTCTTTCTAGGCATCAAGAAAATCTCATATATGTCAAAGGAAATATGAAAAGAAATCATGTGTCCTGGATGAGAGGGTAAATCTGAGGTAACAGAATGAGGCAAATATGAAGGTAACAGAAAAGGGGTCCCCAGGGCAGGCAGAAATCTACAACCTTCAAGCATGACCTCTGATCCACCTAGCAAAGATGATGGCAATGAGCCTTCCCAAACAGGCAAAAACCAATCTCAGTTTTGTTTCTTCATTTTGATTTCACAATTTTCAATAAAGAGCTAACCACAGAAAATGTCAGAATGCCTCAGATCTTGCTTAATAGATGGAACCACGGGAGGTAAGCACACACCACATGCGAGGCACAACAGCCACTGCTGAGTGAGGGTGCAAGGTCCCAGAATGTCATACCCCCAGAGAGGATTTTGGGGGTAGGTCAAATTCCATTCATTTTTTCAAAAAAAAAAAATGCTCTCCCCAAAGCCAATCCTGTTGGGTTATTAAACAGGTAACGTTAGAAATAGCAGGGTCAATTTACCTGTACAGTAAATTTTAGCAGAACTGCTGTACCTTGGTGAATTCTAGGTAAACCTCAGTTTTCCTGCTTTCATTTTGTCAGGTTATTGGGATTTCAAGCTCTTGATCACATTTTTTTCTAATCATTTAACAAAATCAATTGTGGCTTTTAAAAGTACATATGAAGAGGCCCCAGCAAAGGCATACTGGATCAGAATTCCTGTGGTTGATGGCAGGAATGTGGGTACTTTAAAGATCCAGAGTTGCTTCTTTTGACCAGGCAGCTTTGAACACCTCTATTAAAAAGAAATGATTCACACATCTGAATGCATAATACCCTGATTACAAGCTGTGACACCTATTCACTTTGCCCTAGTTATAAGTAGGATTTTATATTGACCTAAATTTACAAGTTCTCCATCCACCCTTCCTAATAACCAGGTACGGATGAGCCAAATTCTTAAACATGGTTACTGAAAGGAATAAAGCCACAGCAAATTAAGGTGTTTTATGGCATATGTGGTAACCATTAAGACATGATATTCCTGCCCATATATAGCGGAGTGAGGAACAGAGGAGTAAAATACGTAGACAAATAACAGTAACACACTCAGCAGAAAGAAGATAATGGTTGCCAGAGGGAATAGGGAAAAGGGTGGAAGGGGTAGGGGGCAGAGGCAGATGGAGTACAGGCATGGGTGGATTGGTGGAGGCAATTAAAAAAAAATACAACAGTAATACATTACCATATAACTTGACAGATTAAATATCAAAGTTCTATAAGATTCTAATAGAAGAAGCTAGCCTTACACTTATAGAGACAAGACTTAAGTATAGAGATAACCCAAGGTCAGGTCTCTAAAGTTCCATGCAAAAATTCACCAGGTGGAGGAAGAAAGATTTATGGAAAGGCTGATAAAGCACCCAAGTCTTACCACAGTAATTTAGGATGGGCAAATGATTTCACTTTTCTGGTTCTCAGTATCATTCTTCATAAGACTAGGTAATTCCAACCACAGGATTAATTGCTCTACTGATGAAAATTCAAAATATGAATAAAGCTGGATATAAAAATTGTC